AAAGAAACTTCCTTAAAATGTAAAATTTTTAGCCAGGCTCAGGCCTATAATCCCAACCCTCTGGAGGCAGAGATGGAGGCAGAGGCAAGAGACTCAAGTTCCAGGACAGCCTGATGTACCTAGGCAAGTCCCAGGCCAGTCAGAACTACATAGCTAGAGCCTGTCTCAAAATAAATTAATTAAAAAAATTAATCAAAATTTCTAGAACCAAGCATGTTAGCATACATTTAATCCCAGCACTTGGGAAGCAGAGGCAAGAAGATCTCTGTGAAGGCTGGTCTGGCCTATATAGGGAGTTCCAGGACAGCCAGAGCTACACAGTAAGACCTTGTTTCAGGGGAGAAAAAAAAAAAAAGAAAAAAAAGAAAGAAAGGGAAAGGGAAAATGGACAGGGAGGGAGGCTGGGAAGTAAGAAGGGAGGAAGGGAAGGAAAAAAAAAAAAAACTGCCACCAATTGAGCCTAGCCTGGGCTCCAGAGGGGAGCCTTACCTCAAAAAAGTGCCAAAGTACAAATCAAGTAAAAGAATTCAAGATGAGTGTGTGACAGTCTAACAAGCAAGCTCGAAGACGACCTTCACCATCATTAGTCCTCAGAGAAATGGAGGAAGACACCAATTCACATCTGCCACAACAGTGATAACCAGAGAGGCAGGGCTAGCTAGCCATGTACTTCAGCAGCAAAGCACACATTTAGCATGTGTGAGGCCCTGGTGCTCCCCTGAACATACGAAACATTCATACGTACAATAAAAGACAAACTGGAGTCTGCTAAGTTGTAGAGAAATGGGAATTCTCACACAAAGCAGTGGAATGTAAAATGGTGCAAGCACTCTGAAAGAACTTTCGGTAGTTTACAGAGAGAAGTTGAACTTACTATTGTGACCTTGTAATTCTACTCCTGGGTTTCTACACGGAAAATAAAACATTGTCCAGTAAGACTTGATATGAATACAAACAGGTTTATTCCAAACAGCCAAGGAACAGAAACAATCCTATACCCATCAACTGCTGTCCATTCACAGGAACTATATGAATAACTGTTACTTCGTGCTATGGGAGGGACATGGTTAAACCTCAGCCATGTATGCAAAGTAAGAGATGACAAATGCCAAGGAGCACACATTATAGGATTACTCCTATATGAAATGTCCAGAGGGAAAATCTATACAGGCATAAAGTAAGGTTTTAGCTGCCTGGGGCTGGGGTGGATTAGGGAGTTACTTACTGCAAATGGAAATGAGGCATCGTTCTGGAATGAGAGAAATGTTCTAAAACTGGATTGTGGTGATGACTGAACAACTTTGTAAATTAACTAAAATATTACTGAACTGTATACTTTAATCAGGTTATTTTATGGAATATAAATTACACATTCACAAACTTTTAAAAATAGTGTACTATGTGACAGAAGCCAAATACCAAAGGTCACATTATTATAGGATCCTATTTAAATAAAATGTCCAGAAAAGACAAACCGATAGGAAAAATAAATGTGTGTTTGCCTGGGGCTGGGAGCAGGAAGCACAAAAGAACCTCACTGGGAGGACAGAAAGAATCTAAAGATGTGACGGTTACACAGTAAACATACTAAAAGAAAAAATCATGTTATGACTGGACTTCAAGGTAAAAGATTTATTTTTACTTTGCATTTGTGTATATATGTGCATATCTGTATTCAAATGTCATGTATATGCAGGTGCCTGAGGCCTGAAGCAGTCATCAGATCTCCTGGAGCTTCTTCTATTACAGGCAGCTGTGAGCCGCCTAATATTGGTGCTAGGAACCAAACTCAGGTCCTCTTGAAGAGTAGAAAATGCTCTTAACTCCTAAGCCATCTCTCCAGCTGGCAGACTGTTGTGTAAAAGATGACCAAATCACACTGACATTCTTAACCTGTGACAAACTGTGGACCACAGTTTGACTGGGATGAGAACCCATTCTCAGAACTACCAGCCCACTCAGACATCCTGTTCTATAATTATCATCGGGCAAAATTAGTGTCACTACATCTCCACAGCCCTTGCAGCTCTCAGAGTTTGTAGCTGAAGTGCAAAAGCATCAGGGATGATAACTATAACCAGTCCTTTGACCCAGGAGGGATGCACACCCTACCAGAAGGAAAGAACAATGTTACTCTTCCAGAATAACAGAATCCCCTTTATTTTTCTGATATCATTCTGGAATCTCCCATTTAAACCCTTCCTTCATTATGAAAAATTAAGGTCCCAAGAAACAACCAATCAAGAGAATCTTTACAAAAACAGAGACTTATCTAGCTCAACCAGTACATGTCAAAGACCCAACATACAGTAAGGACAGACTTATGATGTGACTTAAAGATGAGGCATCCTTTATGCTTTATTACACTTCAGGGTGGGGAGTGGAGGAGGAGGCCATAAGCTTCTCCTTCCAACACCAGGGTCCCAGGAGTGGAACTCAGGCCATCAGGGTTGGCGGATAAACTATAAAGAAGCTGAAATGTAGAGAAATGGCAGCAGCCTCAGCTACACAGCAAATCTGATGCCAAGTTGAGCAACCTGAGACCTGCCTTTAAAAAAAATTGGGGGGCTGGGGAAATGGCTCAGTGTAAAGTGTTTGCTGAGCAAGCATTAACCACCTCAGTCTGAATCCCCAGCACCCATGTGAAGTGTGAGGCCCAGGAATCCTGTAAAGAGCCTGAAATCCAGTTGCTTCGAGGCAGAGACAGGAGGACTCTGGAGTCTTACTAACCAGTCAGTCTAGCCAAATGGTGAGTTCTGGATCACCTAATGAGAACGATCAAAAAGAACGAGAAAAGCTAGCCTTTACACGAGCACATGCAAACACACACACAGACCTACAAAGAAGTTTGGTGGCTTTTTGCTTTTGTTCTTCTTAACACAAACAGTGAAATAACCACTGGCACCTTTAAGAAAGCTCTAGGATTTTTGGCTGGTCTCTACTGTAAAACTAATTTTAAGACAGGATGCTATCAGTGTAGACAGCCATGTCAACTGCTCATGTCAGCTGATTACACCTTTGTTTTACTAAACACATCCCCTTCGATTTCTATGGCCACTGCATCACTGCTCCACTACAAATTCTCCCTCATCCCCGGCTCCTAAGCCTCCTCAAGCACTATGCACCTCTGGGAGTGACAATCCATGTTTGGTATCGACCAACTGGTATTCTCAGACCCTATTCAGGGCCACTTCGCACACAGTAACCAGATTTATGGAGCGAGCCACGGTCCCTGGTTGAAGCCCTCCAAAGACAACTTGAAACTCCAAATCTTTACCATAGCTTCAAAGGTCCCTGAGATCAATGTGTGCCCTCTCTCTGGTCCCTGAACTTATCAAGCACTTTTTCCTCGGAGTCTGCATATTTTCGTATTCCTCAATGGAAGGAGAAGGGAGATCTTCCTGCGAAGATTTCAGGGCTCAACTTACAAGTCTATACTTCAGGAAAACAATTTTCCTTAAAATCACGTAACTTATCCAAATCATTTCTTATTATAACTAATCTTGCTCATTTCCTTCCGGTCACCTACCGAGACCCGTTACCGCTTTTTTTCATTCTTTCTATGTAGTTGACTTCTGCCTCCTCTTCGACCAGAGAAGTCAGTTGTAAGGAGCCAGAGGCGGGTCTAACCTGCTCAGCACCGGGTACCTGCAGCTTCCCTCAGCTTCGCCCCTGCGAACTAGTGCAGCGTCGCGTGGATGCAGGGATGGACTCAAGCACACATACCGCACAATCCCACAGCCACACGGCTCTGCCCACGAACCCCAGTGCCGCCTGGACCAGGCCTGCCGGCCATCCACATGTCTCTTCTGCACAGGGCGCATCTGTCTCAGGTACACTTGTCTCTCCGGAGGAAGCCCCACCCTAAGCGCACGCCTCGCACCAGTGCCCAGCAAGGCTCGGGCCCAGAACCCCCGCGCGTCGCCCCTCGGCTCTCACCGATCACCTCCTGCAGCTCGTAGTCATCCCTGTTGATGGACCAGGGCAGGGCGCTCGAGTCCTCGGACATGACGGCTGCAGCGCCTGGCTCCGTGCTCCTCACGCTCCGAGCTCTCCGGTCACCTCGCCGCGCTCCTTCCCACGCCCAGCCGCCGCCCCCAACCCGCCGCTTGGCCCAGCCTTGGGGCGCACAACGCCGGGGCGCGCGGGTCAAGCGCGGCCCCGAGGCGGGGACGCGCGGCTGCGGCCGACCTCGCCTCCTGCGGCTCCGCGTCCCGCAGTCCCCAGCCCAGCCCACGAGCCGGCCTCAGCCTCCGCGGCACCGCGAAACGAGCTTCTCCCCGGCCCTGCCCCTCCGTCCCGCCCTCCACCCGAACCCCAAGCACGGGCCAAACTTTCCCTTCTCCCTCCACCTGCCGACACGCAGCGCGCTGACGTCACCACGCCGGGGAAGCTTGGCCGCGGCCCGCCGCCTCCAGCCGCCATCTTGAGTGTGGCTGGACAAGAGGCGAGCGAGAAGGAAGCCGGAGAGAGTGGAAGTCGATAGTTGAAGGGAAGAAAATGCTCGTGGAGGAGTTCACTGGGGGCGTCTGAAAGCCAAAAGAGAGCAAACTGTCGCAGAACGACGAGCCACACCAAACATGGCGGCCACTGAGTGCCAAACCGAGGGAGAGGAGCTTCCTCTAGCGGCTGAGGGAGGGGCGTTGCCGTCTCTGCTTTGCATTCATTGGTTAGTTTGAGGAAGCATGCGACCGGCAACTGGGACATGTGGACATCAGTCATACGTTAGTCCCGCCTCCAGGAGCTTGACTCGCCGTTCCTCCGGAGCGCCAGAACCTTTCAGGACCCAGTTCACTGAGGTGACGTCACGGCGTCACGGTCACACCCTCCCGACGTGCAAGCCGCGCCCCGGGGTGTGGAGAACCCGAGGGAGCGGCCGGGTGGGGTGCGCGGACGACGGCCAACTAGGATAAAAGGTCTTTGCGGGTTCCCGAGTGGAGCCGGAAGCTCGGCCGGTGATGACATTTTTTTTTTCTAAGGCGGAAGTACTCAGCGCCGCCTCTAGGATCCGGGCGGGTGCGGGTTCTGTCGTTTCTCAGCTTCGGGTCTAAAGCCAATTAACACCTGCCTCGGGGACCTAGGTTAGTTAGTTGGCTCTGCCCAGACAGCGCCTTGACTGTTGCATGAGGCTTCTGTCACGCGCCTTGGGGGTCAGCTCAAGGATGGCTTTTGTCATCCTCACAGAAAGAAGTTCAGTTTTCTCGGCCTTAGAAGATCGCGCTTTGGTGGAACAAAACATTAAAACAACCCTGATAGGGTCGCTGCGGAGAAGGTATTCAGCTGAACGCCTCTCAGAGCAGGCCCTGCGGAGCAATACTGCTGAGCTCTCCAGTAGGAAGGCCATGAACACATCTGGTTGATAGAAGTTGTAGAACATCTCAGGAAGAGGTGTCGTTTGGGCCAGACCTTACAGAGGCTAAGGTGATTTCAACAAACAGGAAATGAGAAGACAGAATATTCCAGTCTCGGGAAAGGTGCAAGGTCTTGCTGTAGACATTTGTTTCAGCCACTACTCGTGACACATTTACTGCAGGTGACACTTCTTTTTGCTGGAAGGAGAAGAGTAAAAGTAACATTGAGAGGAAGTGGAGAAGGATTGGAATTCTCAAGGTGTGTACCAATAGAAAGACCAATAAACCAAAAATAATCTGGAATTGTTGGGCTGTGTGGACCACAGACAGACTTTACAATTTTCTTTCGTTACCTTGAAATTAAATATAGTTTAGAATTTACAAATATAGTTTAGAATTTACGACTGCCTCTTCTTCCCTTCCCCTAAGAAAAGGAACTACCAGTTTCATGGTGAAATTCAAGATACTGATCTCAATTATTGTTAGATAACACTACAGTACATTCATTAATCTGTTCTTGGTTTACCTCCTCATACAGGTACCTTAGTGGATTAAGTAGACCAGGAACCTCCTCTACAGATCTAGTCATTTTTTTTCTCCTTTCCTTGACTTTCCCTCTGGCCTAATAGAGGCTAAAATACCATGATTCTAATGAGCAAGGAAGCCAGGAATTGACTATTTGAGGCTATAAGCCCAAGCTACAGCCTTTAAAGTATCTTCCATGTGAGCACTGTCATAACAGTGATCAGGAACTTAGTCACTCTTTTTTTTTTTCCTGAAGTATGGAGTTTTTGTAGTAAACAGTAGCATATAAGTTAATAGCTAAATAATTATAACCCATAAAGCACCATACAAGAAAGATATACTGTGATAGCAAGTAGTTAGGGAGCCAGCTATGTAAAGTGTACTTAAAATAGTTAGTTTTAAGTATTTTTAAAACTATTAATAAAATTATCGCCAGGCGGTGGTGGCGCACGCCTTTAATCCCAGCACTTGGGAGGCAGAGCCAGGCGGATTTCTGAGTTCGAGACCAGCCTGCTCTACAGAGTGAGTTCCAGGACAGCCAGGGCTATACAGAGAAACCCTGTCTCGAAAAACCAAAAATAAAAAATAAAAAAAAATAAAAATTATGGTTTTCTTCCACTTAGGCTTGTGACTCCCTTGATAAACATTTACAAGAAGAGAGGAAAGAAAATGTGGAATGATTCTGGACCGTGATCCTTATATCAAAAGTTCACCACATCCCACCCTTGTCTCTTGAGAGTATGGTATATTTTTTACAGGAGGAAATTCAGTTTTTCCCACATTCTCAAAGGCATCCTTGTGTGGGTTCAGATCCCTTCCTCCCAAATCAGGCTCTGAGACCAGAATTTGAGTGCAAAGTTATTTAGGGGCAACCTGAAGAGGCTCTCCATAGAATGGACGAGTTGAGGGAAGGGAAGGACACTTGTTGCTGGGTGTGTTAATGAGGGCTTAGTGTGTATGTAGGTGATGGGCTTCATTCTTCTGAGTGTAACCTAAAATACCACGGAACACAGCCAGACAGCGATGGCACATGTCTCTATTCCCAGCACTCAACTCAGGAGATGGAGGCAGACAGATCTCTTGGGTTCCAAACCAGCATGATCTACAGAGTGAGTTCCAGGACAACCAGGGCTGCACATCGAAAAACTGTCTAGGGGAAGAAAGGAAGGAAGGAAGCAGGCAAGCAATAAAATAAACCAGAGAACATATCTCAAAATTGTTGAATTAAGAGACCAGAGACAAGGAAGAGGCTGAGAGTGTGGCTGACAGTAGAGTTCTTACTAGCCTAGCATTCAAGAAGGCCAATCCTCAGGACCACAAGAGAGGAGGGGAAAAGAAAGGTGAGCTATTAACCAGGAATATCTTTGCCCTTACAGTGCTAACTCTCCCACAATTCTCCACAGCTCAGTGCCTGGAAAAGCATTCTTGTGGAGTCAGAGAGCACGCAGGCAGCTGCAGATGTGTTTCACGTATCAAGACTCTCAGAAAATAAACTCTGCAACAGGCCAAAGAAGATGACCTAACACCATCTATCCCTGGACTGAGAAACCAGATGTAAAAGAATATCCACGCTATCTCACTTAAGCAGCTGCCTGTCCTGAGTATTGCCATTAGTACCCGAAGAATGGAGAAGGAAAGACAGATTTCAAGACCAGTGATGTCTTGGATAATCAGCACGTAGTTATGTAATTATAGGAATTCAAGGCTTATAGGCTTAAGTAAAACTGCTTTTGAAGTATAGAAATTAGTGGGTAACCCCTGTAAGGAATCTGATTTTTTCCCCTTTCTGGCAGTACCAGGGATTGAACCTAAGACTTCACAAATCCTGGGTAGGCACTGAACCACTAAGCTACAGCCCCACCCCTATGAATATATTTTTTTAAAGCACAATGTTATGTCTCTGTCGTGAGCTGTTTTTCTCAATTCCCTATAAGGCCAGGGACCAATTATAGACTGCTGGATCTATCCCTCCCATAGAGTCCTTATTACGTCACACGCAATGTGATGTCATCCATTCTGATGAGAAGAGACAATAACCATACCCCACTCTGGTGTACTCGCTGCTGTGTGTTTGGCATGACATCCTACAAAAGAACATGTTAGGTCACAGTGTTTGTTGATTAACCACATGAACACACATAAGCTAGGAATCTGGAGCCTAATGAGGGACTGCCATCTTGGTGAGTTCAGATCACAAATGTCCACAGGGACAGACACTTTGGAAATGCAGGGTAGGTGTAAAGGGGATTGCATGGGGAGAAATAATGTGTCCGTCCCCACAGTGGACTCTCAGCATCACACTGGGCTCTGAACTAGAGAGGAATGCCAGCTTCTTCCAGCCTTGCGCCACAGAAGCTTAATTAGTTCAGGCTAATTGAACACAAAATGGGAAACAAGTGGGCGGCCGCTTCCTAGGTGCCGTCAGGGTTGCAAACAGTACCTGCTACAGGTTTAGGAGGCCTTAAAACCTACTTCTCCCTCTGTGCCACTCCTACTTTCAGGAACTCATTCTCATGCACCCTATATTCACTGTGCTCAAAAACAAATATATAAATCTACTTCAAAGCTGGGCATGGGGCTGGAGAGATGGCTCAGTGGTTAAGAGCACTGACTGCTCTTCCAGAGGTCCTGAGTTCAATTCCCAGCAACCAGCAACCACATGATGGCTCACAACCATCTGTAATGGAGTCTGGTGCTCTCTTCTGGTGTGTCTGAAGAGAGCAATGGTAGTGTACTCACATGCATAAAATAAATAAATAAGTCTAAAAAAAAAACAACAACAACAAGCTGGCCATGGTGACAGATTCTTGTAATCCCAGAGTTGAGAAGTGGAGGTGAGAGGGCAAGGTCACCCTCAGCTACATAAGTGAATGCATGGTCAGCCTGGCTGACATGAGACCATCTCAAGAGATAATAAAGCAAACCTCATTGTGTTGTTTACTGTGGCATCATTCCCATGGCCTCTGCTTCTGTTCCTGCCCCCAGATTCCTGTCTTGAGTTCCTACATTGGCTTCCCTCCATGATAATAACTCTAAGACAAATAAACCATCTCCTCTCCAAGTTGCTTTTTGACCATTTTTAATCACAGCAGCATATAGCAAGTTCCAGGACGGGACGGGATGGGACGGGACGGGACGGGATGGGATGGGCTGACTGAGACACTGGCTTTAAGTGTGTGTGCGTGTGTGTGGGTGTGTGTATCATCCTTGACTAATTGGAATGTGAGTTGATGGAAGACTTTTGAAAAACAGTTTGATTATCTTGACAAAGAAAAAACCATGCTTCTGCTCCGAACCCCAAACTCCACTGTACAGTCTACAACCAAGATGAACTCTTGTGCATGTATTTTAAGCAACATATCCAAGAATACCTACAGCAACATTTTAAAGAATGAGGAAGTAAGGAAACCACACAAGTAAAATGTGAAACTATCAAGATAACTGGTACTGTATAGCAGCAGAAATATACCACAGTCATATAAAAATAGCTTAAAGGACTCTTCAACGAAGGTAGGAACAACCTAAGCACTATCAAACAGACAGACAGAGGAGCCCAGGCATGGTAGCACAGCCCTTGTCTCAGTGTTTCTGTTGCTGGGACAAAACACCACAACCAAAAAACACGTTGTAGAGGGGAGGGTTTATTTGGCTTACACGTCCACATCACTGTTCATCACTGAAAGAAATCAGGGTAGGATCCTGGAGGCAGGAACTGATGCAGAGGCCACAGAGGGATGCTGCTCACGGGCTTGCTCCCCCAGGCTCTCTTTCCCTGGCTTGCTCAGCCTGCTTACTTATAGAACCCAGGACCCCCAGCCCAGGAACAGCACCACCCAGGAACAGCACCACCCACAGTAAGCTGTGCCCTCCCCCACTGATCACTAATAGAAAAAAATGCCCTACAGCTGGATCTCATGGAGGATCAACTAAGACTCTCTGATGACTCTAGCTGTGTCAAGTTGACACAACACCAGCTGGTACGGCTCTCTAATCCCTACACTGGAGCAGAACAATCAGAAGTTCAAAGTTCTTGTCTATACAGCAAGTTCAAGGCTTGACTTACACAAGAAACTCTTAGATAAAATAAAACAAAATGGGGCTGGAGGAATGGTTCAGCGGTAAAGAGCACGGACTGCTCTTCCAAAGGTCTTGAGTTCAATTCCAAGCAACCACATGGTGGCTCACAACCATCTGTAATAGGCTCTTATGCCCTCTTCTGGTGTGTCTGAAGAGAATGACTGTGTATTCACATACATTAAATAAATAAATATTTTTAAAAATTATAAATAAATAAACAAATAAATAAATAAATAAAACAAAATGAGAAGGTTCCTGAGATGCATGGGGACCTTCTTTCTAGGTCCCTGTGGTGCATGAGGACCTTTCTTCTAGGTCCCTGAGATCCACGAGGGCCTGCCTTCTAGTCCTTATCCAGTCCCTTCTCTGCTCAGAGCCTTCACATTTTCTCATCCCTCTATAGGGGAACTGTGAGGGGATCTTCCCTAAACTCTTCAGGACTCAACTCCCATGACTTCACCTCAGAAAAACAACTGTCCTTAAGATTAAGCTAACTCTTCCAGATTGCTCCTTATCGGAATATCTTGCTCGTTTCCTTCCTAACCTACCAAAATCTATCCTTTTATTCCTTTTTCTTAAGACTCATTAACTTTATTTTTTATATGTATGGGTATCTGAAAGGCTGCATGTATGTATGTGCACCATGTATCTGGCCCACAGAGGCCATAAGAGATGATTGAATTCCCTGGAACTGAAGTTATGGATGGTTGGGCCACCGTGTGTATGCTGGAAATCAAACCTGGATCCTCCACACGAACAATGGTGCTCTAGACCGCTGAGCCATCTCTCCAGTCCCCCTTATTTGCTTCTGATCCAATGTCCACCTCTTTAACCAAAGAGAAATCTATGTGGTAATGCCATCACGGTCCCTTCCCCTGGCACTATGATCTCTTTGTAAATGGACCTAACAACAAGTACTAGCACATCTGAGAATGAGGCCAGCTGATGTCTCCAGGTAGAGTCGTCCAACTTACTCTCCTGATGCCTGAGAGTCTTCCCCAAGAAATGCCACTAGACGAGCATCTAAGTGGGACACTGTGAACAATCCATCTACAGACCTTTTCCTCTTGCCCTCCTTGTCTTTGGTCTTTGTGCATCTGTCCTTTCTGAATCCCTGAGCAGCTGACATACCTACCCATTGTCACTACCCATGAGTAAATCAGATCTGGACTGTGGGACAGAAAATCATGCCAGGATGCTTGGTAAGGGAGAGCAGGCTGAGCCTCAGAGATTCAGTGGGCACACATCTGAGGCTTAGGCAGCTGTCAGCTCTCTTGCAGACTTAGGCCACACTGAGTATCTGGGTCTCAACCTGCTCTACCTTCCCAAACTTCCTGCCATGGTTTTACATCCCACACTGGATCTCCACCTGAAGCAATGCTGTCCACCAAAGTCAGCCCTCCATTGCTGGCTTCTCAACCCACTCCATAGGAGGCCACATGCAAGAACTGTCAGATTCCTCTCTGAATAAAACCCATGTTTCTTTTCCTCCACTGACTGATAAAGCATGTTCCTTTAAAGGCACAGGTGGAGACATAGGCAGTGGGATTGTGGGTAAGAAGACTTCCCTGTGCCTTTGGACAAGCTCAGCATATAACACTTCCATTGCACAATGGGAGCCTGAGGTACCAGTCCAACTTGATGGATCAGTGTAGCAGGTAGCTCCTGGCGCTGGTGCTCAGATAGGCTGACTTACCCACCACCTGTACCTCTGGTATAGTCTTTAGTTTCTTTGATGATGATGCTTCCTGTGGATTACCAGGTCATCACTTTCCAATGGAACATATGTGATCAGCTCCATTCCAGAATCCCATCTTCAGCCCATTCCCAGTACCAATTACTGCGTCAGGTACCAATGAGAAATAAATGACACCATCAAGGTAGATAACTTGAGAAAAGTTTGGCAAGGGAGCTATTTGCCAAGGGCAGGCCGGACAAAGGAAGACCAAGGGTCGAGTATAACCCCTCCAAGCTGGCTGATCTGGAAAAACCCAAATGATCCGAGGATGAGGACTTCTAGAAGCAGAGGAGCAGGTGATGGGCAAGCACCTGAAGTGTGATCTTTGATGAAGACCAGTCATCAGTAGTCCCTGGATAGGAGAGCCAAGTGATATGTAAATACCTCTGCATTCTCCTCCTTTGTTTGAATCTGCTGGTGCTGGCCCATCAACAAACCAGAGAATCAGGGGACCCACAGTCTTCCAAGGTCCCGTCAGTATCTTGAGGCATAGAGCTCAATGGACGACAAGAGGAAGAGATACAGAGAAACTTCATGATTTGCACATTGCCTAGACTTCTTTAAACAAGTGAAGCATTTGCTGGTTTATATGTCTGAAAACTCAAGCAGCAAGGCTTGACACAGGGATCCCAAGTGCTGCCACCAGCTCGCCTCCATTTCACACGTCTGTGCTCCAAGGCCCCAGAACTCAGCCTTTTGTGTTCAGCACCCTGGAATCTTCCCAAGGCTTCATTGACCATAGTTAGGGTATATGACTTGGCCAAGTCATGTACTCAGAAGGTGGGACCTAGTGTTGAGAATACACAGCCTGAAGAAGAATGTTGATGCTGACGTATGGGTCAGAGCTTCTCCATCTGGAATCACTGTGGAGCCTACTGCATTACTTATTTCTCTCAGTGTGGTGGTTTGAATATGCTTGGTCCAAGGAGTGGCACTATCAGGAGGTGTGGCCTTGCTGGAGTGGGTGTGGCCTTGTTAGAGGAAATGTGTCCTTGTGGGCGTGGGCTTTAAGATTCTCCTCCTAGCTGCCTGGAAGCCAGTCGTCTCCTAGCAGTCTTCAGATGAAGATGCAGAACTCTCAGCTCCTCCAGCACTATGCTCCCACCTAAATGATAATGGACTGAATCTTTGAACCTGTAAGCCTGCCCCAATTAAATGTTATACTTATAAGCGTTGCCTTATAAGGATACACTTATATGTACACTTATGTACAACCACTGTGGAAATCAGTCTGGTGTTTCCTCAGAAAATTGGACATAGTATTGCCTTAGGACCCAGCTATACCACTCCTGAGCATATACCCAAAAGATGCTCCAACATATAACAAGGGCATAAGCTCCACTATGTTTATAGCAGCCTTATTTATAATAGCCAGAAGCTGGAAAGAACCCAGATGTCCTTCAACTGAGGAATGGATACAGAAAATGTGGTACATTTACACAATGGAGTACTACTCGGCTATTAAAAACAATGAATTCATGACATTCTTAGGCAAAATCCTTGATAGAACTAGAAAATATCATTCTGAGTGAGGTAACCCAATCACAAAAAAACACACATAGTGTGCACTCACTGGTAAGTAGATATTAATCCAAAAGCTCGGAATACCTAAGATACAATTCACAGACCACATGAAACTCAAGAAAAAGGAAGACCAAAATTTGGGTGCTTCTGTCCTTCTTAGAAAGGGGAAAAAATACTCATGGGAACAAATACAGAGACAAAGTGAGGAGCAGAGACTGAAGGAAAGGCCATCCAGAGACTGCCCGACCTGGGGATCCATCCTATATACAGTTACCAAATCAGACACTACTGTGGATGCTAAGAAGTGCCTGCTGACAGGAGCCTGATATAGCTGTCTCCTGAGAGGCTCTGCCAGAACCTAACAAATACAGAGGCGGATGCTCACAGGTAACCATTGAACTGAGCATGGCGTCCTCAATGGAGGAGTTAGAGAAAGGACTGAAGGAGCTGAAAGGGTTAGCAACCCAATAGGAAGAACAACAATATCAACCAACCAGAACCCCCAGAGCTCTTAGGGGCTAAACCAGTAACCAAGGAGTACACATAGAGTGACCCATGGTTCCAGCCGCATATGTAGCAGAGAATAGCCTTGTTGAGCATCATTGGGAAGAGAGGTCCTTGATCCTGTGAAGGCTCAATGCCCAGTCTAGGGGAATGCCAGGAAGGGGAGGCGCAGGAGTGGGTGTGTAGGGGAGCACTCTCATAGAAGCAGGGAGAGGGAGATGGAATAGGGGATTTGGGGGGAACCAGGAAAGGGAATAACATTTGAAATAAAGAAAATGCCAATAAAAAAATCAAAACATCAAAAAGAGAGTGAAGAGAGAGAGAGAGAGAGAGAGAGAGAGAGAGAGAGATGTCTTAGTCATGGTGTCTGTTTACAGCAGTAAAACCCTAACTCAGTGCTGAGATAAAAATCTGTGAGGAAAAAAAAGCAACTTGAAAAAAGGAAATCCCCTCTCTATTTACTCATACTGAGAGTGAGCATAGAACCTCAGGAATGCTGGTCAGATGTTGGGGACAGCATATTATGACAGGGACTACCAGCAGCAGGCCGGGATGGAGACATCTCAGTAGCCTGCGGCAGCTCTTTGTAAAAAACAGTTGTTCCCATTTCTCCTAATCTTAGCCCTGAACAACAGCTGTATAGATTTCATTTGTGCGTGATGGCTTTTCAGTTGGCCTTGGTGTACATAATTATTCTATTATATCTGACTTTCTTACTTCTTTCTCCTTCTGCTCTGGTGAATTCTGTGAAATTAGATGTTCCTTGATGTAATGATTCTTAAACAATTAAAAATTGAGGCATGGGTCACAGCACTGCACAGTCCTAATGGTCCAGGTGCATGCTGTGTGCTCTCATCTTGGAAACAATGCAATAACTGCACAATGGTAGTTCCAGATTAACCTTTGACTTGCAAAGAAGGTTTGAAGAGATTATTAGAAAATGAAATAGAGCCAATATTGGGACCCCAAGAAAGGGAAAAAAACTACTGAAGTTATGAAATAAGCTTTATACAACATTTAAGAGTAGTGCGCCGGGCAGTGGTGGCGCACGGCTTTAATCCCAGCACTTGGGAGGCAGAGCCAGGCGGATTTCTGAGTTCGAGGCCAGCCTGGTCTACAAAGTGAGTTCCAGGACAGCCAGGGCTACACAGAGAAACCCTGTCTCGAACAACCGAAAAAAAAAAAAGAGTAGTTCCTGGATAAGCAAGTATAGAATGCATAAAATTACATATTAGTAAAACTAAGTCAAAAAACTGAGACTCTTGGGAGAGTCAGTATGTGCAATGTACAGAAGTAGAAAGCTAGCAGAAGTTGGTTAACTTGTCTCTGGCCGCTGCCTGGCCGTTTTCCCCATGTCATTTATCATTAGAGCTTCACAGGAACATGCAAGTAGTTGACCTTGGAGCTCGGAGCTCTGAAGTATAATAAGTTAGAAGTTAAAGTTTAAATAATGGTAAGTTTGCAATTATCATTATTTTGGCCAAAGGCCTGGGAATAAGAGAAGTTTGAAACTTTGGGGAACAATTGTAATTCTTGATTCTTTGTGGGATGTGGTTAGTCTTTTGAATTTGCTTTGGCAATAGTTACACAATGTCTTTTTTTTTTCCTACCTGCTTTTGTAGTATCAATAAAAGACTAAAGGAAGACAAAGACCAGTGAGCATGTAAAGAGCGAGTGAAGAGAGAATGTGAGGTGTGTATGGAGAGTGTGTGTGTGAGTGAAAGAGTGTGTGTGGTGTGTGTGTGAAGAGTGTGTGTGAGTGAAAGGGGAACACACAGAGGTGTGTAGGAATGTGGGAGTCCGAGAAAGGAAATGCACACAAGAGAATATAGAGTGTATGCAGCTTCAAGCTGCCGGTGAGCGAGTGAGTGAGGAAAAAACAAAAGCAGAGCAGAGAGAGAGAGAGAAGCGAGAGCAGCTTTAAGCCTTGAAAAGTTGCCTGTCAGTTTGTATCCAAAAAGCAGTCTGTGTCTGTTTATTACGTGCCTTCCAGATTTCCCTGTTTCCAGTTGAGAACTCTGATCCTGTGTGGTGGCTGGATCCTGACACCTAAGGACTCTCAGGTGCTGGAATTCTGGGCTGGAAAGTTGGCTCAGTGGTTAAGAGCGATTGTTGCTCTTGGAGAGGACCCACATTCAGTTTCCAGCACCCACAACCTTTGGTGGCTGACAACTATTTATAACTCAAGTTCCAAGGGTTTCAACATCCTCTTCTGACCTCTGTGGATTCCGGGCATGCATGTGATATACGTGCAAGCATGCAAACAAAATACTCATATACATAAAATAAAAAGTCTTTTAAGAGATTAAAAAGCACTGGCATCCTGATAAATTATCTTTCCAGTACCACCTCCCAACATAGAAAGGCCTCATATCAAACAGGGAAGGTGATGTTGATGCTACTGGCTCAGGGGTCAGTAGCCAGGCTTCAAAGTAGGACAGTCGAGTGGAAACCTTCCACATGTAGCAACTGAAATTCGGCTGCCTCAAAACCGAGATGTGCAGCAATCCTGGATGTTCGAGAATGAGGCCAGTTGGGTGTGATCCAAGGAAAGAGGAAGCGAGGGGACCACGGAGCCACGGCCAGCTCACCACCACTTCCGTTCTCATCCTCCTTCAAGCAGCTTCCTGAAAGCAGATGCAACAACCCTGCCCTTCCACCTGCCCGATGCACCTTACAGGCAGCCACTCCTCTGTTCCTCCCAACCGGACTCAGTCTAGCACTCCCTACAGCCTGCCTGCACCGAAGCCAGGGCCCTGCTGCAGCCTGAGGTCTATTCTCCATCCTACATGTGCCTCTCACTTAGATCTTTCCCTTAGTACTTCTCCCAGCTTAGGGTTTGCCTTGTCTCCCCCCCCACCCCCCACCCCACCCCCGCTTTCAGAGCCCCGTCTTCAGGACATGGAGGATACATACCTTTGGTCCGGCCGGCATACCTGCTGCCCAGGGCTCCACTACCTGGTTCCTGGGTGGTTCTGACTTTCCTGCTTTTGTGTCTTGCTTCTTTTACTGCAACCTAATTTCCTTTAGATCAGAGCATGATTGGCTTTTATTGTCTGCCTTGGTCTGGCCTCATGGAGCAAACAGATCCTCAAAAGAGCAAGTTTCTGAAATGCAGTGGTGATTGGAAATACATGTATTTTAGAGATGCAGAAACAACAAATGTTCCTTTAGAAATTAAAGTACTGGGTGTGGTGACACATAAGTCTTTAATTCCAGCACTCGGGAGGCAGAGGCTGGCAGAGATCTCTGTGAGTTTGAGGCCAGTCTGATCTACATAGCAAGTTTTAGGACAGCCAGACCTACATAGAGAGACTTTGTCTCAAAAAAAAAAAGTCAACAACTTTTAAACCCTTTTTTTCTGACAGAATGCCCTATGTTTCCTAAACTGTAGTGCTCAAACAGTCCTCCTGCCTCAGTCTCACAAGTAGCTAGAACCATAGGCATACTACCTTACCTGGCTCTAAAACTTTTTACGTTGGCATAATTACAGGTCTTGAGGAAGTTGGAAAGGTGATCGAAGTTCTTACACTACTCATACTTACTCTTAGTTCTTACTCTCCTCCTATCCGAAGACTACAAAGGTAACATCAGTGTTGTGTGTATAGCACTTGGCCATCCAATGGCTGGGTATGTGTGACACCATAATCAAAGGATAGATGGTGTTCTGAGAATACAGCTCAGATGACACCGTTTGACCCTGGGTTCAATCCCTGACACTGCATACCAGGGCCAGGATATAGTTTAAGCTAAGAAAGACTCAGGCTGCTGGGTGGAAGCAGGTTTCTGGAGCTGAGGATGATACCTTTGGCTCCAAATGGCCACTGCTGAAGCTGGAGCCCATGAGGCTGAGACTCAGCCATCTGGAAGCCACAGGAGACACCACATTATAGAGAGGCTTCTCTTACAGTACAAACTCATAGCCTACCTCTCTGCTTCCAAATACCTTAACACACATACAGTCACAAGTACACTTTCTCAAAATAAAATACTTTTTATTATAAATTTCACATATAGAAGTACAAAGTACAAACATGAGCCTTTCTCTCTATTGATATTCCCATAAAACCTATAAAACAGGTGTAGGAGATACTTTGCCCAGGCTGCTTTAAAATGCTCGATATCAAGCATTGAAATGCCCCCATGAGATTGTACAAAGAGGCCTCCATTCCTCTCCCAGACACTGAGGGGAAACCCATTTTCTTTGGGACTCAGGACCCTGGGGTGTGTCCTGAGAGAGACCAAGACATTGTCTCTGTGCTGGAGAACTTGAGAGAAATATGCAAAGCGTACTTCTTGGAAGAAAATAGCTGAGCCTGCAGCTGGTCTGTGGGGTGACGCTGAACAGCTTCTCCTTTTTTATCTTCAGTTTGCTAAAGGCCCAAATGCGTTTGGGGCCTTTTCAGACTTTGCTTTCAACGACTTGAGAAAAGAGAGGAGAAATCAACAGTGCCCTCATCTTTTTCTTCTTTTGGGGGCTGGGGGTGGGGACAGGTTCTCATGTAGCCCAGGTTGACCTTAAACATGGTGTGCAGCCCAGGATTACCTTGAACTCCTGATTCTCCTGCCTCTATCTCCCAAATGCTGGAACTATAGGCACTGTAGCAAAGGCACCCCATTTTTGTGCAGGGAGATGGCCAAGTCCCCTTGATAGTAGAATTCTTCCACTCAGCTATTCTTGGGAACTGTCCCAAAGGAAACACATGTATGCAGATGCCTGTGTACGTGAGGGAGCACATGTGTACTTACACGCATCTACATGAACAAGACTATATGGGGCCACGTGCCTTCAGCCACTGGGGATGGAATGTTTTTTTGTGTGTGTGTTTGCTGCTTGTTAACAAAGCAAGTAATTGAGGTACAGAAAGTTGGTAGAAAGTCTTCATGTTGGTGAGCCAGGGAGGAAGCTTCCCTGATGACATTGTCCTTGTGGTCCTAGTGACCCAGCTCATAGGCATGTCAGAGGACAGGATCCCACCTCAAGCAAGGCAAAACTGAGATGTGTGCATAGGCATGGGTGAGTGGGAGTGAAAGGCAGTCCCAGTTGCTCAGACCAGCCACCACTGAACATGGGCTGAGCCTGAGGGCAGCCAAAGATGCAGACGAGACAGCATCAGAGAATCTGGCTCCAGGCAGCTCATCTTCACCTCTGCCCTGTGGGAGGAGGAAAGGGAGTTTAGAGTGGACAGATGGAAGCTGTCCTGGCAAGCCTGTGGTCCCTTTAACAGCCAGTATGTGGTCCTTTAGCCTCCCTTCAGCCCAGACTGTGTCTTCTAGGATAGCCAGAACAGTGCCTCACCATTTCCCTGCCTGATCTCCATATCCTGTTTCTCAGGAGGAGACACTGAGGTCAAAGTTGGCTGCGATGTAGCTCAACTAGTCTTCCACTCAGACTCATTCATCCCTGACAGACACTGTGCTGGCTGGCAACCTGGCAGGGAATAGTGACTTGCAGTCACTAGTTCCATAAGGACTTGAGAGATGCTGTCCAGATGATGTCATCTGGCTACTGCAGATGTCTAGAGATGAATGGACCACAAGCTCCCCCCCTACAATGTCAGAGGAGGCAAGCAGAAAATCACAGACAGACTGACAGACCTAGGGCTCCCAGGGTCATCTTCAGGGCAGGGACAAAGCCTTGGCGAGGCGGGTCCAGAACCAGGACTTGGTGCAAGGGTTGGTATAGTCGCAGATAGTGATGAACCGCAGAATACTGGGAAAGTCCTTCTTCATCGCCTTGTATTTGATAGGGATCAGTCGCTTCTGTTGGACACCTGCAGGCCAAACAATGTGGTATTAGGACCAAGTGGGGCTCTGTGGTGGGGCAGGATCAGTCACTAAAGCACAGGCTAACACCAGCTCACCATCACCATGCCCATGGTACGTATCCATTACATAAAGGAGTACACAGGTACATCCTCAGAGATCTGGAGTGCTTTCCTGGACTAAGGAAAATCTTAAGGTTATACCTCCTCGCTCTCTTTGACCAAAGCAGATCTAAGCTTACCTGGAGACAGGCTGAGAGCAAACTTGGTCTGGAAGTCACATTCCTTGCTCTGTAGATAATCATCAGAAATCACCACCACCATGCGGCGACACCTGAGGGAGAGTGGCAGAGTTCAGGCACTGCAATGACTTCCTTCAGAGGATGGTGTTAGGAAGGACCACATTAACCCAGGCTGGTCAGAGCCCAGCTAGTAGGAGAGTCCTAGCATCTGGACTTCTAGGTTTCACGCAGTCACCCACCTACCCTCTTTGATGCCTAACTGACCTTTTCTCAATGAGCTCGCTGGCAATGGACCAGACACAGGTGCCTGGCAGGACGTCACGGTCAGACACGCACAACTTAAGCCGATAGTCTGTCTGTTCTAGTTGCCGGATCATCTCCTGCACAAACTCAATATCACTGGGGCAGTAGCAGATGAAGGCATCGAAAAGCTCCGGCGTTTGTCCTGAGGACAGGGGACAAGGGAAACAATCAGCCTTCTGCAGAAGGCTGGAAAGACCCCAACCTGAAGTCTTCCATCAAGGGAACCTGGGCCTATATCCATCCCAAAGTGATGTCATACACAAGCCCTTCCTGCCAGTGAAAAGATAACTCCCTCCCAGATGAGACCTGGATTAACTATGATAGAGGCATGCCGTTACAGTCTCAGAACCACTCTGAGACAGGACTGCCACTATCCCAATTTCTTAGATGGGGAAACCAAGGCTCAGAACAAGTGGCTTGCCCAAGGTCCCAGCTCCATCCATCTGCTTCCAGTATCCACGCCCTCTGCATGTCACATGTCTGGGGCTGTGGCCCACCTACCCAGGGGAACAATACTGGGCCCTTACCCAGGGGGTCGTCAAGGGTGGTGATGCCTCCTAGTTCCTTTGTTTGTGGCACACTGCTTTCCACTCTAGCCACCTGTAAGGGCTTCTCGGACTCCTGGTCCTGCTGCTTCTTTATGTATTTCCGGCAGTCCTCCTCTGTGGAGAGGAGACAGGGTGTAGAATGTCCCCAGGTTCCCCAGGCTGCTGCTGTACTCACTCACTCAGAATCCTGTCTTTGTGCCATGGGCCTACTTGGGCTCTGAGCCTTCTCCAGCCTCTGGTGCTATGGACGGCTCTACAAACTATCACCCCCTTTCTGACTCTCCCAAAATGGGCATCTGAGAGGACTCCAAAGTCAGTCTGCCTCTCTGATCCTTCATCCTACCTCCCCTTTCTAAGGCTCTAGAGAATGGCGCCAAATTGGACATCTTGTAGGGTGCAGGGCAATCGGAGCGGGGGATTGAATGTCAGAAGGGCTAAGGCACCAAGTTAGTGCTCAGTGAGAATGGTGACCCCCATCTAGCAAGGTGTACCTCACTGTGTGTGGGTGGTGGGGGTGGGGGCATTGTGCTGAGTATCAGTGAGTAACAGAGGGGCTTTAGTCCCTTACTTGTCCTGTTGATCCCGACACAACTGAGAAGCTGATCTTGTCTCCTGGTCCAACTGAAGGTCTTTGCCTAGGTTCTTTTCACATCCTTTCTCTACCTCAGGGTTTTTGAGCCTATGCTGTCCTGCATATCGAAAGAAAATTCGACTGTCACTCTCTGCCTCCCTAGTACACCCCAGAAAAAATGAAGCAAGATTAATATGCCAAGACCAGCGCCGTCGACCATTGGCACAAGACCAGAAAGCATGTTTCCTCACCGATGCGGGGCATCAGCTCCTTCAGTACATCCTCACGGTCTAACAAGGCCAGCATCTCTAGTAGCCTGCCGACCGACGCGCCAGAGCGTCCCTGCCAGGCATCCAACAAACTGCGAGTGGGATCGGGGCGTGTCTCCAGGTCTCGGATCTCCAAGTACTCGAAGCCCATCTCCTCTGCCAGCAAGGTCCAGTCGGCTGCCACCGGCGTCCGAACGTTCAAGAACAGCGAGAGGCGGCGTCTCACTCCCACATTGAGTGCGACCAAGGGTATGGAGAACATGGAAGAGTCCAGGGACACGGATCCCACGCGGGGACTTCTCGCAGACATGGCAGGCAACCCTGGGCCCCGGTGCCGTCTGGAACGCTCGCCTGTCGAGCTTCCTACTTCCCTTAAGTCTTCTGCCAGCCCCTCCTTCTTTCGCTTTCCGAGAAGCTCCGCCCTTTGCTAGAGTCTGGAATCTCGAGCCACAACGCAGCCTGAAAGTCAATCCACTTGCGTTTCTAACCTTTGCTCTCCTCCCCTCGAAGGTGTGAGAACTTATAAAAACTGCCTCTGACATCTGACTTGGCCCACCGACCTGTCCTGGGCGATCTGGTAGTGGTGGCTATTCGTGGTGAGGTGAATCAGCCTTTCTTAGGACTTGAAGGAGTTACAGCCCTTCCGTATAGCAATTTAAATTCTGGTAATAGGGAGGGAAGAGACAGACTGGCTTTGGAAGTAGTAACCTGAAGGCTCAGTCTACTTTTAGCCATCTGGGGTCACTTGTGGTGACTCTGCTTTTTAAAGGGGAAGTCCACGACCTTGCCTGAAAATTGCCATTTAGGGCATCCTGTCCTTTGTTATCTGAGACACACAGCACTGCCTTCCAGGGGTCTTCAAAAAACACGCGGACCTTACTCTTTAACGTTGGGTCTAGACCCAAAGAAGATTGTTTTCGTTAATTCACTTGGTTAATCTACTTAGGTGTCAATCTCTAATACTGGGTCCCCAGCCCCCTCCCCCCGGGCTTAGTACAATTAGGGGAATGACACTAATGACACTAATGGCATTATTCCAAACAGACGTAGAACAGGCTTAAGACATATGTGGTGCATACTACAGTTAGAACCTGCCTGCCACTCAGCACCTTAGTAAAATCGGTTCTTCACACCAGCTGGGAACCCAAAATTACTTTGTTTTCTGAGAGGGCTTCTGAGACAGCAAAACCCGGTTGGGGCTGAACTAAGTGCTTCAACACTATCTAGGTCCTTGGCTTTTCTGGGTTTTGGGTCCCGGGGCCAAGCACAGCAAATTTTGATGGGAGACAAGAGTGTCTTTTCTGCCTAGCCCAACAAAGGGAGAAGCCATGGGCAGGGCTCCGCCTTCCACGCTGCTGCGCGCTGAGCGCAAGGGGAGGGACTCCCTTGAGGCTGAGTTCATCTTAGGAAACCATAAGTTTGGGGAGCCTCCTTTCCGTGTGTCTACAAAAGGTTGTGCAAACTTAAGTTTCCAGTCTGCTTTTCTAGGGGAGGATTAAGAGTACGCATTATGATTGGCCTCCGTAGGATTGGCGGGCGGGGCTTTGAGTGGAAAGAGAGTGTTAGGACGGGCATTGGGCGGGGCTCTGGGGCAAGGGGTGGGTGGGCGGCCCTCAAGCAGACTCCCCTTAATCTAATTGGTTGCGTCTAGGGGTGGGCGGACCCTCTAAAGACTCCATCCACCATTCTCAGTATTATTCTACCCGGGTTGTGATCCACTTTCAGGCCTCGGGAGGTAGAGGGCTGTCCTGCGCCTGCGTCTGCGCCTGCCATCGTTTCTGTTCATAAAGCTCTGCGTTCAGAGCCTGAGCGAATCGGTGGGACCGACCTCCGCGATGCATCGGCTGCAGGTAGTGCTGGGCCACCTGGCCGGCCGGCCCGAGTCGAGCTCCGCGCTGCAAGCTGCGCCCTGCTCCGCTGGCTTCCCGCAGGCCTCGGCCTCCGACGTGGTGGTGGTGCACGGACGGCGCACCCCCATCGGCCGTGCCAGCCGCGGCGGCTTCAAGGTGAGGTCCCTCAGGTGGCCGAGGGGAGCAGAAGGCGGTCAGCGTGGGCGGGATTCTGCCCACGGGGGTCCGGTGACCGCAAAGTCCCCAGGTGAGAATGCGGGAGCTGGGCTCACCGCTGCTGCGCCTCGCCCTGCAGGACACCACCCCCGACGAGCTTCTGTCGGCCGTGTTGACCGCGGTTCTCCAGGACGTGAAGCTAAAGCCTGAGCAGCTGGGAGACATCTCCGTGGGTGAGCTCCCCTGCGGGTCCAGCACCGGCCCTTCCCCGCCGCCCTCCTCCCTGGAGCCTCTCCTTCTCACCGAGAATCTGGGTTTCACTGAGCAAGACTACAGATACTACCGATTTAAGTGGAATGTTCGAAGGATCCTTTTACAGGGTTCGCCTAAGATCATCGGAAAACACAGATATCTGCATTATGATACATAACAGTAGCGGAATTACAGTTCTGAGGTAGCAACGAAAAATAATTTTATGGTTGGGGGTCACCACAGCATTGTAATGGTTGAGAATCATTGCTCTAAAGCCAAGATGTTCCTGGAGATTCCAGGAGGTGAGAAAACCCTACACGGACACACTTCCCACCCTGCCCTAACCCCTGCTCTTTCCCTGAGCTAGAACATAGTGTAGGACAGGTGCCAGCCTGTCCCTCGTCCTTGCTTTGACACAGGGCTTGGAGGAGGACACTAGAGGAGGTGAGCAGTTGCAGACCCTCACTTCCCTCACCCACAGCCCCGCTCCCCTCAGCTTTCAGGCTTTGCACTGTATCTCTTACCCTAGTCTCTCCTGTTACCAGGCAAGCACTCCCCAACACACACACCCAAGCCTGTGATTTAGAGGAGCATGCCTTGACCCTCCAACAAGGCTGGTGGATGACAAGCTGTTGGGTAGCTAGTTCTCCATTTTCCAGACTCTGAACTTCTATAGCTTCACACGAGCCTGGGAAAATCCTAAAGTGATCTGGAAGAAAGATCTGGAATGTCTCCTCTCTGGAACTCACAGCTGAACTTTAGTATGCAGACCGCTGCTTGGTACTGAATAAGGTTTCTATCTACAGGCAATGTACTTGAGCCAGGAGCTGGAGCTGTCATGGCACGTATCGCCCAATTTCTGAGGTAACCCTTCTACCTCTGGTGGGGATTCTACCAACATTAGCCAGTTTGTAGGTGACAGGTTATCAGGTTGGACCCTAGATATCAAATCAGCCAGAATCCTTGGACCCAGCGTTCCTCCTACTTTGAAGGATGTGTTACCTGGCCCAGAACCAGGATACCCAGAGCTTTGGGACTAGAGCAAAGGTGACCAGATGTTTCCCAAAGCCAGCTTATTTTTTTACCCTTTGGAAGCATGGACTCTGTCCCCACATGTCCGATAAATAATCACATGACCTTGATCAGGATCTTAACTTCATTTCCTATTTGAGCCGCCTGAGAACCCCAGGCTCAGTCAGTTATCAGAAGCTTGAGGGTAGAGGTAGGGAGCAAAACCCAGGGAGAGGGGAAGCCAGGGTCCCTGGTCATCTTGGCCCTTCCAGATGGGGGAGCAGTAGTTCAGTTACTTCTACATGTAGATTGAAGACTCTCCTCCCTCAGTCCTTCCTACCACGTGGGTGAGGAGTAATAGCAATAGTAGCCAGAGTCAGAACAGGGGAAAAACCTTCACTCTAGAGACATGGAAAAGGTCAGAATTAGCCTCCCCAAATCTCCTGTAACTTTCCAGTTCATCTCTCACCTGCTTCTTCTTTTTGACTTTCCCTTCTTCTGCTATACTGGCCACTCCTATACCCTCATTCTGCCTATTCTGTTACCATAGAGAGCTCTCTCTCTCCTCACCTAGCTCTGGCTAGTCCCTGCCCAGACACCCCCAAGACTGACTCTCAAAATGAGTGACCTTCTTGTCCACTGGGTTGCTATGTACCTCCCTGTCACTACAGACACTTACAACCTAGGTCTGCAAACAGGAGCGCCCCGGTATCTTGAGATTCGAAACTCAGGCAGGGGAAGCTTGTTTGGGCCACTGGCGTTCCTCTTCTCTTCAGAAGTTTTGACAAAGAAAAGTAGACATCTTCTTTGCCCACAAAGAGCCTGGCCACCAGCCCAAGAGCTAGGTCTCATGGGCAAAGCTTCCAACTGTCTCCTTAGTAGCAAGTGGCTGTAGTGAAAGTTTGCCTAGTAATTGACCTCTCCTTTATGCCTCCCCTAGTGGTGGCAAGACCAGCTGTTACCCTCTGGCCTGTACACTGCTATAGGCCATAATGGGACCCTGGGATTCATGGGGCCTGCTTTCCATGAGGCAGGGTCACATCTAGGGCTGGCCACACATCCAGGGCTGGCCACACATCCAGGGCTGACTGCCATCTCCTCTCTGTTCCAGTGGCATTCCAGAGACTGTACCTTTGTCTACGGTCAACAGACAGTGTTCCTCAGGACTACAGGCGGTGGCCAACATTGCTGGTAAATTGTGACTGCTGGGTGCCCATGAGTGTACCCTGACCTTGGTCCATGACCCTCAGGACCCTAGAGAGAAAGAGTGGAGGCGCACCTACTGTCACACCCCGAGCCTTTCTGGGTGTTCCTGGGTCGTCTATGAGTCTTTGTTGAGTGTAACCCGAGAACAGGGAGGGAGTGGGCTTTGCTGCTCCAGGGCAGACCCACCCTGGCCAAGGATGGTTATGAAGTGCTTTTGTTGCAGGTGGCATCAGAAATGGGTCTTATGACATTGGCATGGCCTGTGGGTAAGATTACCTTCCTGCCAGACCTTATTAACCAGTGCAACAATCAAACTAATTTTTCTCTCCTCAGTTCTGAGGTGCCATGATTCCAGGATTCTCCCTGCCCACTAAGACAGCTGAATAGGCTGGGCTTCCAGAAATGTGTGTAGGAGTGGCCCAAGTGCTGGGCTGCTCAGGAATGGTCCAGTCTCAGCACCAGCAGGAAGGGGAATTGGTCTCTAAGGTATCCTGGAACATGTAGGCAAGCATGTTGAGAAAGCACTGCAGTTGAGAGTGCCCACAGGGCACTCGCTCATGTGTTCTCTTTGCCTGTAAAGGAAGGAATATCAGTTTTGTTTCTCTAAACCCAGAGACATACAGAGCAGAGCATTGTGGGTCATGCCTGTCCATCCCAGCTAGTAAGACGAGAAGTTCTTAGGTTGGGAGCCATCGTAAAGTTGGGAACAGCATATATATATATGGTATGTGAGTACACTGTAGCTGTCTTCAGACACACCAGAAGAGGGCATCCGATCTCATTGCAGATGGTTGTGAACCACCATGTGGTTGCTGGGAATTGAACTCAGGACCTCTGGAAGAGCAGTCAGTGTTCTTAACTTCTGAGCCATCTCTCCAGCCCCCCAGGGACAGCTTTTATTGGACAACTTTTCTCCTCAGCCATTCTTTTGCCACCAGTCTGGCACTCGGGTACATCTGCATTCTGAGGGACAGACTGCTGGGTATCTGTT